CTTCCCACCTGAGTATAAAGGGAACGTGTATGCTCAGTGTGGAAAACACAGACGAGAGGGAAAATGGAGCCCGTCCCCGGGCCTCCAGGCCCAGACACAAATGTTCTTTGTGCCATTTCTTTCCAGTCTCTCTCCCTTCCGGTTTGTAAGTGAGGAAGGATGCCGGAGAGACAGTCACTGTTCCCAAACTGTGCGACAGCGCCCCCCCGAGGTACAGCGGCCAACTTGGGGGCGGGCACCAGGTCAGAGGGGGCCTTGGCGGAGAGGGGTGGGGGCTCACCGTGGTGGCGTTGGTGGACCCCGGGTCACTGAGGGGGGACACCAGGAGCACTGGAGACGGCAATACTTCATAGGTGTTGTTGTCACCTGGAGCAGAGGACAAGGGGAGGAAACATCTGCAGGCCCACTGGGGCTGCTGTCGACATTCATTTATTTGTTCAGCTAACATTTGTGCAAATCCCTCTTTTCGCCCAGCCCTATGTCGGGGACAGACCTGTCCCCAGACAGGGAAGAGACAGAGCGAGTAGGGCTGGAGCTGGGGAGCCCAGACAGCTCCTGGAGTGGGGTCAGGGCCTGGAGAGGGATCATGGAGGGCTTCCTGGAGGAGGGGACACCTGAGACTGTAAGGAGAAGTGAAGGGTTTTAAAAAAATATATTTTATGTATTTATTTATACAGAGAGGGGAAAGGAGGGAGAAAGAGAAGGACAGAAACATTGTTGTGTGAGAGATACATTGATTGGCATGTGCCCTGACTGGGAATCAAACAGGTGACCTTTTTGTTTCACAGGCTGGCGCTCAGTCCACTGAGCCACACCAGCCAGGATGAACTTGCCATGTTTGAGGAACTGTTGGGTCTGTCTTTTGTTTTGTTTGTTTGTTTGAGGGTGGGAATGTTACATGGCAGAGACGAAGCCAGATAGACAGTGGGGACCAGTTTATGGGAGTCCCTGAGAGACACGTTAGGGAGCCTGAATTTTATCTTCAGGGCACTGGGGAGCCATGGAGGGTCTGGGAGTAGAGACGCGGTCCGAGTTTTAGAAGGACTCTGCCAGGAATGGGGTGAAGGCTGTCCTGGGAGCTGGGTGGAGGGATCTGGGGGGTGGAGTCTGAGGTGGGTGTGGCCTATTGATGGGTGTGGCCTGTGGGTGGCTTAGGTGGGTGTTAATGGTGACTGGGGACAGGGAGTGCCAGCCATTGAGGAGAAGAGAAAAACAGGTTTGGGGTGAGTACCAATGCACTCGGAATCTATGGGCTGAGTTTGGGAACCCTAGAGAGGTCCGGGTGGGGTAAGCAGTTGCGAGTCCCCCAGTAGCGGAGGGCAAGGGGGTTCCTTGCTGTAGGAGAAGAGGAAAGACTGTGAGGAAGCCCAGGTGGCAGGACAGGGCCCTTGTCTTACCACCGTTACGACGGGGGTCCAGCTCCGGTTTCCCTGTGGTCGCCATCCTGGGGGCACGTGGAGGGAACCAACATTAGTACCGTCAAATGCTCCAGCAGGTAGGCAGAGACCTAGGGGAGCTGGAAAGCCCACCAGTCCGCAGAGAGAGAGGTGGTCCCTGCTTCAGCGTGAGCCAGGATGAGGTCCCCCTCCCCATCTCTTCTCCCATAATCCCCAGCCACGCAGTCCTTCCTCAGTTTCCCAGCCTCCACCTTGCACCAATGAGCAACGTTTCCCCAAAGCTGCCATTTGCACAGACCATCTAAGCAATTCTGCTCCATCCGCCTGTTTCATGGTCTCCTTAACATTTCTCTTTAGGCTCTCTGTCTGTCTGTCTGTCTGTCTTTCTCCACCCTCTTCTTCCCTCAAGGCACGTACTTTCGTGCTCTCTCAGTTGTAAGCTCCAAGGCCCCTTCTTCCCCCTGTAACTTGTTTCCTGAGCCCCCAAAGCCCAGCTGGATTACTTTTATTTTCCAAAAACCCTGTGACTTTCTAAACAAACTTGTTTGTATTTGAAAAAATATTTCTCTGGGCTGTTTTAATTTTTTTGAATAAAAAATATGTTTATTGATTTTAGAAATAGAAGAGGAGAGAGAGAGAGAGAGAGAGAAACGCTAATGTGAGAAAGAAGCATTGATTGGTTGTCTCCCAAATGCACCCTGACTGGGAATCAAACCCGTAACCCAGATATGTGCCCTGACTGGGAATGGACCCCCCCAATCTTTCGGTGTATGAGATGACACTCCAACTAACTGAGCCACACTAGCCCGGGCAAAATATTTCTCTTTAAATAGGCTCATTTGAAGACTCTTATTTAAAAAGCGCACTTGGCATCACTACCTCCAATTTGTAAATTCACTGGATAAATATTTATGGAACACCGACCATGAGCTGGATGCTGTTGAAGGCACGGGGGACACAGCTGGGAACAAGACTGACAAAGATCCCTGGCATTCTGGAGCAGACACTCTAGTGGGGAAAGAGAAAGGTAGAGATAACACTAGATTAGCTGGTCCATAGGGAATTTGAATAAACAATCGACAGTAGAGTGAAAAAATATTATGAAGGAAAATGAGGATGGAAAAGAGCGGAGGGTGGAAGGGGTGCGTGTGTGTGGTTTTAAGTAGGATAGTCTGAGGATCCTTCAATAGCCAAGGGGACCAGATGCGCAGAAATCAGGAACAGAGAGTTCCAGGCAGAGGGGACAGTCTGTGCAAAGGCCCTGAGGCAGGAGCAGGAGCAGCAAAGGAACAGCACGGAGAGGAGAGTGGCTTGGAAGAGAGGCTGTGAGAGTGGGAAATGGTGAGGTCAGGGAGGTGAAGTTGGGTGCGGCAGAAGACGGAACTGGGTCCCGCGTTCACGGTGGCCTTGACTCTGAGGGACCCTGAGCTCATGGAGTTTAACAGGGTATCTCTGGCTGCTGAATGGGCAACAGACTGTGGGCCAGGAGTGGAAGCTGGGAGACCCTTCAGAAGCTGTTACATTATACACAAAAACTTATTCCAACTAGACATAAGCAGAAAACGACTGGGAAAAATTTAAAAAGCCCAACAATGATTTGTAGCTTGGTGTAGCCGCCAATTTTCTCTTGGTAAAAGCCAGCAAATATTAGAAAGGCATTAAAGGCTGACTAGAATTGAATTCTGTTCATTACCGCAATCAGAATGAGGCCAAGAGAACAGAAAAGGGATTTTTTTTGCCTCATGTTCCAAAGCCTTTAAAAATACCAAGCCATTAAAAAAATACTTTTTTATGTGAAACTATTTCAACTTAGAGAAAAAATGACAAAAATGGTACAAAAACCATCTATATAATTTTTACTCAAATTGGCCTATTATTTTTACTCCATTTGCTTCAGCATCTGTCTTCCTCTCTCTTCCCTCATGCATATTTCCCCCCTGAACCATCTCTGGGTAAGGTGCAAAAGGATGGCCTTTTACCCGGAAATACTTCCATGTATTTAAGTATTTTCATGATTCTGCGTTTTTAAAAATATTTTTATTTATTTATTTTTAGAGAGAGGGGAAGGGAAGGAGAAAGAGTGGGAGAGAAACATCAGTGTGTGGTTGCCTCTCATGTGTCCCCTACTGGGGACCTGGCCTGCAACCCATGCATGTGCCCTGACTAGGCATGGAACCAGTAACCCTTTGCTCAATCCACTGAGCAACACCAGCCAGGCTGATTCTGTGTTTTTAATGCCCTGGCCCAGAATGCCATGTTAAGTTGCCTGTAGTTTAGCCAGCACTTTGAGAATCTCTGAGAGTCTGTAGTGGGGGAAAAGCTGGTCAGAGGGTCAGGACACACGGAGCCTAGTTTTGGTCTGGAGCTTGCAAGTCACCGGGTTCTGTCCTGAGAAACTCTTGGCAGTCGCAAGCCAGTTCTAGGCCATTTGGCGAATGACTTCACGCCTCTAAGCTTCAGTTTTCTCTAGAGACTACAGCAAACTATGTGCCAAGGCGCAGATCCTCCCCATCAGCTCCTTAGGTTCCTCTTATGAATTAAGGAGTCTAGTGGGCACGGCTTCCGTGCCTGCTCTACCGTTGATAGGACGGCGTCAGAGCCATTAACCAATCACAGCATCCTTTCCCCTGAACTTAGTTGCAACCTCCAACCCGTTTCCGCGGAATTCTCTTGGGCCTAGAAGAGTGCCTAGTACCTAGTAGGTCCTCAGCAAATATGTGTTGACTGTTTTCCTGATCAGAATTGGGCTAGAAGGTGAAAGCTAAAAATAAAAGGCCAAAAGCAAGAGGCCATGGCTTTTACTTGAAATAAAAAAAAGAAGAGCTATTCAGCAACGGACTCAGGCAGAGATCCAAAAAGCGTTCCCAGGAGGCGGTGAAGCAGGAGGAAGGAAAGGGAAACGACACCAGTAGGAGGCGTTTCTGTTGGTGCCGCTAAGCACACAATGTGTCAAATTATTAAGCTAACAGTCACCAGTTGGGTAGTCACAGCGATCATGTCTGCTTCCGGTTGTCTTTGCAAACAGTGTTATCTTTGGACACAGCGCGGTGTTAGTCCCAGTCCAGAGCCTGTCTTATCCGGTTTTAACATTCCAAAGGTTTGAGAGATAAGAGGTGCAAGGTGCTTCCTCAGGACGGCTGCTCAGGCTCCATTTAATTAATTAGTTAATAGAATTTATCGGGGTGATGTTGGTTAATAAAACTATATAGGTTTTAGGTGTACGGTTCTATAATTCATCATCTATATATTGTAGTGTGTGTTCACCACCCCAAATCAAGTCTCCTTCCATCACCATTCCCCGCCCCTTATCCTCTCTTACTGTAACAGGGTGAAGTCAAGAGGGGGCCCCCAAATAAGGATTTATAATGGGGTCCAGAAGAGCTTGGAGATAATTGGCTCCATACCACAGGGTCACACCTGCCCGTAATGCTGGCAGCTGTGGTCAATTGTGGGAGGAGCCAGAAATGGGGCTGCAGAGGAAGACCGGCTCTGGGATTTAAACCTGGGCACGACAGCCATTAGGCGTCTCTTTTTGGGACCATGCATCTTTTTGGGGACCATGTGGCTTGGGTGTCTTGCTGGGACCATGTGGTTTAGGAAGTGCTCCCTTTTGCCACGTGGATGGTTCCGGGAGCCTGAATCACGGACTTCTACTTCTTTCCTGAGATACGATATTCCAGACCAGGCAGAGGAAGAAGGCAGGACTGTGCATCTGTGGGTATTCTAAAGAACTTTAGTCTGTATAACTTTTATTTTTTTATTTTTTAAAAGATTTCTGGTTCACAGGCCCACACTCAATTCACTGAGCTATACCAGCCAGGTGTATAACTTTTAAATAAATAATAATTCTTTTCCTTTTCACCAATCTCTGGCATTGAGAGACATCTTTCCTCTGGTGGGGGGCAAAACCAACCTAATATGGGGGAGGAACCCCCAGAGAAAAAGAGGAGGTCTTTTATATAGTTCAACCCCCTGCCCCGACTGTTCTGTAACATTACCTCCCCCTATCCCCCTTTCTTTCTGGTAATCACCATACTGTTGTCTGTTTTTTTCTTTTTTAATTTTTTAAATATTAAACTTCTGTTAAATCTTCATCTACATCTTTTTTTTTAAAGAATTTTATTTATTTACCTTTAGGGGGGAAGGGAAGGAGAGAGGGAGAGAAATATCAATGTATGGTTGCTTCTGGTGCACCCCTTGCTGGGAACTGGCCCCTGCTGGGAACTGGCCTGCAACCCACGAATGTGCCCTGACTGGGGATTGAACCGCAATCGTCTGGTTCACAGGCCCACACTCAATCCACTGAGCTACACCAGCCAGGGCTGTTTTTTTCTTAACACCTTCATCTTTTTCACCCAGACCCTCTACTCACTCCCCTCTGACAGCTGTCAGTCTGTCTTCTGTATCTATGAGTCTATTTTGTTTGTTGCTCTGGCTCCATTTTATTTTATTATTACTTTTAAAAATATTTTTTAAAGATTTTTATTTATCTTTAGAGGGGAAGGGAAGGAGAGAGGAAGAGAAACATCCATGTATGGTTGCCTTTCGTGTATCCCCTGCTGGGAACTGGCCTGCAGGGAACCTGCCTGCAACCCAGGCATGTGCCCTGACTGGGAATCAAACCGTGATTGTCTGGTTCGCAGGTCTGCACTCAATCCCCCGAGCTACACCAGCCAGGGCTTGGCTCCATTTTAAAGTGGCTCTGTTTATAGTATTTTTACAGCCCCTTGCCACCCCTAAATTAGGACATCTCAGTAGGAAGAGAAGTAAGGTGGCGAAGGTCAAGAAACCACAACATGCAAGCAAGAGTTGAGGGAAGAGAGAAGATTGCTGTCTTCATTTTCTGGGCATTATGGAGTGGCAGAAAAACTGGACAGTTTATCTCCAACCAGCTCAGAACCAAGTTCTGAAGAGGTTCATCTCAGGAGGGAGGAGTATTTCACGAACAGACTGTCTCCTGGGGGAACAGGTCCCAACTGCTCTCTCCCCACCCACACAGAAGTAGGCACTGTCTGCTGGCTTTGCCTGCTTGCCATTCATTCCACTTCTTTGGCAATAGCATCTAATTTGCCTTTGGGGAAGCCCTCCCCACTCTCAATCCATTTGGTCATGTGAAGCTGGGTCTGTTTCCAGCCCCAGGGCTGCCCAAATAGCCTATGTTTGGACAATTAGAGCATTCCAGTACCTGGCACAGTTATGAGTCCATGTGAGAACATGTGATTTAAGTCAGGCCTTGGGCTTTGGTTGGAACTATCAGGAACATGGGGCAGTTTGTTCTCTGTGGTGACTGATCTGGTGGCGCATAAGCCTGGAGCTACTAGAAGATTTCTTGTCACACTACAAGGTGAGAATCAGCATGAGAATAAAGCTACCATAGAGAAAGGCAGAGTTGAGAGGTGTGTGGAGGAGTTTTTTTCTTTCTTTTCTTTTTTTTTTTTTTCAAATTATTTACTTTTAGAGAAGGGAAAGGAGGGAGAAAGGGAGGGCACCAATGTGTGGTTGCCTCTCACATGCCCCCTACTGGAGACCTGACCTGCAACCCAGGCATGTGCCCTGACTGGGAATTAAACCAGCAACCCTTTGGTTCTCAGGCTTGATGCTCAATCCACTGAGCCTCACCAGCCAGGGCTTTCTTTTCTAAAAAAAATTTTTATTTATTTATTTTAGAGAGAGAGGGAGAGAGACATATTGATTGGTTGCCTCTCATAAAAACCCCAACCAGGCATGTGCCCTGACCAGGAATTGAACCCACAACCTCTTACTTTGCTGGGTGATGCCCAACCAACTAAACCACACTGGTCAGGGCTGAAGGAGTTTCTTCACAAAATTGAAGTCCCTGGATCCAGCCACACCTGAAGCTCAGATAGGACAAAAACATTTTCTAATTCTTTGTAAGTCAGTTCAAGTGTTGGGTTTTTGTCCCTTGCAATGCAGAATTCTATCCAAAATCAGGATGGGAAGATTCTTTCACTTCAGGGGTCCCAAGATTTGATGAAATTGTGTATTGGTCAGATGATGTGACTTGTGGGGTTGATTGAGAGGGCAGGGGGAGGAGAGAAAAGGAAAGCAGAGAGGCCTGGGTCCCCTGTACCTTTGGCTCCGGCCCCTCCAGCCTCTCGTTACCAGGAGATAGGCAATGATTCCGATGAAGAGGGACCCAGCAATAAGAGATCCGATGATGATGGCAGTCATGTTCCCAGTGCTTATGGGCAGCTTTTCTGAAAGATGAGAGAGAGACCAGGCTGTGTGATGACTCAGGAGCACCCTCTACCCCCCACATCAGTGACTATCCACCGAGAGCCGAGGTGTGATCTGGGCAACTTCCCAGCCCAGAGTTCTCTTGTGTGTTTCAGACCTGAGTATCCAACCACCTGTTGACTCCACTGCACGTAAAACCCAATGAGTTCCGGGTGGAGCTCCTTGGCTGCCCCACCTCAAGATTTCAGCTTCCCTAGGATTTTCTACCATTTCTGATGGTAGAAAACCTACCTCTTGATGTTATCCCCTGCCCCACCCCGCCTACCTGCTTTTTTGTGCCTCAGGTATGACATCTTCATTCTTCCAGTGAAAGCGGGAGGTTCTGGGCTGTGTTTTGTGGAGGATATAGAGGACTCGACCAGCAGGGTTCTCAAACTCAACGTGCCAGGTTTGGGACAAAGCCTACCAGACTTCTGGCCCCCAGCCTGAGGCCTCCAGCCTTTAATCTCAAGCTGGACACTTATATCCCAGCCCTCCTTGGTGGCTAAGTTCATAGAGTCTGAGGTCAGAATACTGGGGTTCTAGTCCCTGCTGCCTACTGGCTATGTGACCTTGGGCAGATCACTTAGCCTTTCTGTGTCTCAGTTTTCTCATCTGTGAAATGGGGATCATAAGAATACCTGCTTTGTAGGCTTGCGGGTAAAGACTGAATGGGTTTACACACACACACACACACACACACACACACACACACACCTCTCTCAATTTTCCACCAAAGTAGATTCTGTGCCATTGTACAGATGAGGAAACAGAGGTACAGAGAAGTGAACTGAGGGCTCATGGTAAGTTCATGGTAAGTGCAGTGCTGGGGTCACACCTGGGCTACCTGAACTCCTAATGACCCCTGTGTGTGGCTTCTGAAAGCGGTGCCTAGGTCCCGGGAGCCTTGAATGGTGGGAATGAGCCATTTCATGCTCTGAGCCAGTCAAGACTGTTATTTCCCAGTGGACTAGAGTCTCTCTCTCTTTCTCTTTATATATATATATATGTGTGTGTGTGTGTGTGTGTATGTGTGTATTCAAATTAATAAATGTTTGCCTATTTCATCCATCTTTCTGAAAGCTTATCTGTTCAAAGTGTTCAAAGCCCATGTTCAAGTTTAATCTTGTCCCTGGGAGGAAGTGGGTAGCTGTGTCCAGACTTGTCTGGTATTTGGGCATATTCAGTAGTTGTCTCCCTAACCCTCAGGGAGTTGGCTGAGTTAGGCCCATTTTGCAGATGTACAAACCAAGGCCCAGCAGGTCACTTGGGGCAGAGGGTAGAAGGCTGTCCCTCTTCCAGAAACTGTACCAACAACTTTTGCACCTTCTGTGTCTATGTTATCCAGTTCCCACAACAGCAGGTGGTTATAAGGCGAGTTTTCTGAGTGACTCTGGAGATGGGACGAGGCTGAGGCTGTGTTTGCTGGCTTAGGGAGCCTTCCAGTCCCTGCCCTTCCCCTTTCCTTCCACCAATCGACCAGTCTTCTTACAACATCTGGAGTCCCCTCCTGTCGGGAGCCGACCAGCAGCCGTGCCTTGACACAGTCGGGACGGATGAGATACATCTGCACAGCAGAGGCAACTGTGGCTGGACTTCCTGTCTATCTCTTCCTTGCATATTTGTCTTTGCGATTTTTAGACACCTGCATTTCATGCCCAATGACCCGCAGAATTCCAATGAAGTTGTTCAAAGTGGTTTCTTGGCCAGAGAACAAAGTCCCCCCTAATGAAGTAGCCCCTGAATATCTAAAAGTTGATGGAGTAACAGCCCCTCCTCTACCTTGGACAAGAATATATATCAAGTACAATTAGACAGATAAAAGAAGCAGGACAAGCTAGTTAACTGTTACAAACTAAGCACATAAAAATAATTACCAAAGAGTTACAGTTCATAGTACATAAAGAAATATTTCAGACAGGAAGATAGCTAGCTAAGTTGGACACCACAAATGCCTTGTAATAACTTTCCTATAACCACTGTTCAGTCTAGCGTGTCCTTTTGCCCCATGCCTAATTATAAGAGCTTTAATAAAAAGGCATCTAAAGCTCTGTACATACAGCTAGTTCTAATTCTCTGATTAATGACTCTCCTGGTCAGAATAACCTTTGTTTAACGTAACTGAAACTATGGAATTTCCTGTACTTTTTCTAGTTACCTCTGCATTAATCTTTTCTGCTTCACTGATCATACCATATACCTATTATGTTACAATCTCTATAAAAATAAAGGTTAAATCAAACTCTGGGAGTTTGGTCAGACCCTCAGAGGCTGGCTGTTCTCCGGCATCCAATTGGGTGTCTTACTCTTCATTTGTCGCCTGCGCCATCCATCCTTCGGGGACCCTGAGACCTGCTGAGGCTGGACCCCAGCACCTGCCCCCAGGACCTTCTTGCTCTGGCACCTGCTGTCCAGTCCATCCACCCAGTCTCACCACCCACGACTCCCTCCCTCACTCTCTGAGCTATCCAGCCTTTGTCTATGCTGTTCTCTCTGCCTGGCATGTTCTTCCCCACGTGCTACAACTCCTGCTCACTTTTCCATTCCCAGCTCCTTCTGGAAGCTTTCTTTTATAACCCTAGGCCAAGGAGACTCCTGATACACTTTTTCTTCATAGCTCATGACTTACTTAATTATGCAATTAGTTAATGTTGGTAGAATAGACATGTGGGTGTTTCCCCAGCACCTTCTACCATTCCACAGTTGTGAAGCCTCCAAGATTTCTGAAGGATTGAGGAATCGATTCCAACTCCAGTTCTGGGTGGGGCTCATTAGCATATTCCAATCAGTATAGTTCCACCCCTTGTCACAGTAATTGGATCAGGATGGGCAGACATCCAGATGTAAGCCAATCAGAACTCCTCATTCACTTGGCCTAAGTGATTGGTTTATGCTGGTCCAATCAGAGTGAAGTGAAGGGCTGTAGTTCAGAGCCTGGGAAAAGGACATCCCTTGTTCGGGAAGTTGGTTGTGAAGTTGGGAGGCCCGTGAGCACTGGAGTCCTATTGCTGCTGTTAAGACCTTACCTTTGCCTCCTTAGAAAGAGAACCCTGAGTTTTAACTGGCCAGAAGCCTGCCCCTAATAAAGACATTTTCCAGCCTCATGCATGGACCGCTCATTTAAACCTGCCTTAAAGCACTATGTTAACTAAACAAAACACTGATATTGCTTCTGACACTGAAACCCCCGGGCAACTTCACATACACATTTCTGTGTCCAAATTTCCCCAGTTTATGAGGACACCAAGCATACTAGGTCAGGGCCCCCGTTATGACCTCATTTTACCTTGATTGCCTCTGTAAAGATTCGATTTCCAAATAAGGTTCTATTCTGAGGGATTTCGGGTTAGGACTCAACATATCTTTTGGAGGAGACTTCATTCAACATAAAACACCTCCCAAGCCTGGTTTTCTGTCGTCCTGAGAGTCTGCAAGCTGTTCAGGATTCTTTAATCCATTCTTTTGCTGCCTAAATCAGCCAGAAGCAGTTTCTGGTGCTGAAGCAAGAACCCTGCCTAATTCATATAATTGCCCTCTTTTTATAACTTGATGTGTTTCCTGCCTTTTATAATAGACAGTGAGCATGTAAAGAGAAAGCCTGTGAATCATGGGATTTTCCAAAGTAGATTGCAACAGTATGCTCCTCTGTGATACGACCTCACTATTCCCCTGTCTAGCAGAAAGACCTATGCCCCAACCCCTGCCCCCCACCTTGAATCTGGGCCAACTGTAGTGACTTCCTTGTAACCAAAAGAATTCAGTGTAGTCCTGACCAGTGTGGCTTGGTAGGGCGTTGTCCCAAGAAGCGAAAGTTTGCCAGTTTGATTTCTGGTCAGGGCACATGCCTGGGTTTCAGGTTCAAGCCCTGCTTGGGTTGTGTGTCCATGTTTCTCTTTCACATCGATGTTTCTCTCCCTCTCTTCTTCCCTCCCATCCCCTCTCTCTAAAAATAAATAAACTATTTAAAGAGAAAGAATGCACCGTAGGTGACACTCAGGAGAAGCTGTCTATTTTCTGCCTTGGTCTTTTGGGATACCCACACTCTCTATGTCCGCTCCCTCAGAACCCGGCCACCGCGCTGTGAGGAGGCCCAGGCAGGCACATTGGAGGGGCCATGTGACGCTGATCTGGTCAACAGCCCAGCCGAGGCCCCAGCTGCCAGCCACACACGTGGGCGCAGACACCTCTGGATGGCGCAGCTGCCAGCACTGGGGTAACCGCGGCCTCCTGAGCCTTCTCATTGGAGGCTGCAGACATCGGCCTCCTCCTCCTCCACAAAGCTGAGGACCCATTCCCGCTGTGCCCTCTCTAAATGCCTCATCCCAGAAGTAGAAATCATAGGAAAATAGTGTTTGTTTTATGCCACCGATTGCTCTGCATCGAGGTATAACTGGAACTTGTCCTCACATCCTGTTTCACCTGCTGGGATTGAAAACTTTCTTTTTGGCATTTCTCCTCACTGGTCTCTGGGACCATTTGTACTCAACTCTACTAAAAAGGAATCATCTGGGCCTTCTTCTGCGGACAGGACTTGTCCGTGCTGATATTTGATTAGACACAATCACATCTGAAAGCTCTGAGAGACCATCGTACACACGGACAATGGCCAGACCATCTATTAAAGCAGAATTCTGACCCGCAGCCTGCAGCAAGCAGCCTGGGAAACCAACCCTCTCACAAACAGCCCCGGAAAAGCCAGCCTGCTCTACGCCAGACTGGCAGGAAGCCGGCTTGCTGGCTTTAGCGACTATGGTCCCAGAAGCTAAATAACTTCTGCAACAATCAGCCCCACACGCCCAGAACTTGGTTGATAACTGACAGTTTCCCTAATTTTCATCCCCATTTCTAACTTAGGACCAATTCCGGGGGAGCCAGATACGAGTCCCCACGATGCCCGGCTTCTAGATCGCTCCCCTGTGCCAACAGCCTCCACAGAGGGCGCCCTTGAGCTTTCCCTCCGCCTGCCTTGGAGTCTCCGCCA